ATGGAGAGAGGTGTGGTGCAGGGTGGAGAAGGGATGCTGTTGGAATGAGCTCAGCTCACATGGAACTGCCAACCACAGCTTCAACCAAAAGTGGACGTGCACAGATATTTGACAGTGCAACAGCACCTACTTCAGCCCACCCCTCACACGATGAAGATCCACTTATGCTCACTTTAAGTCCACTCTGGACAGCTTGAGGGAGAGGTCACTTGTGTTTTTTAGAAAACACAACATGGAGAAGTGTAGAGATATAGTGGAAGTAGCTGTTTCCCATTGTTGATCATGATCACATTTTTCTACGTGTCTTCCGCCATCCTTTCTAGAACTTCCTCATCCTTGGCCATTGCTTCCGCTGTACTCTAAGCTGCTTTCTGGTATACTTATCCACACCTTTACTCTGGAGGCCTCAGAGACTTTATTGCAGAGAGACACTGAGTTACTTCTGTGAATTCTCTGCCTATTATATGGCAGTAACTCCAGTCTTCAGGATTACAGGGATGACCAATATTATAACTCCTTTCTTTGCTGCTGTGACACCACTGTGGAAATCCCAAAGTGACTAAGTGTCAGACACTGTTAGATTTTATGGAAAATTTCCTGTATGCCCCTATCTACCTACTCTTCAGGATTCAGAACCTCTAATACATCAGGTCCTAAAGGTGCAGAGATCTAAAGCATAAATTCTGCAAATGAGTTTATGGAAATGATGCTGAGAGAGGCTGGTATTGCTTGGTTCATGGACCTGAGTATTCCAACTTTGGGGAACTGTTCCTGTAGGTTTAATGGAGGTTTCTCCAAACTTATATAAAGTGTCAGTAAATACTTTGGGTTTTGTAGGTGACAATGGTCTTTGTTTCAATGACTTTGCTCTCAAAGGGCAAAAACAGTCACAGCCAATATAAAAGCATAATTCCATGAGGACCTATGTCCCAGTGCAGTGGTCCTCAAAGACATCAGGGATAATAATTCAGTTTTGGCATGTTATCATTTTACCACTAAGTTTCTAGCTGACCCAGTCTCCTGGAAGGGCATTACCATACAGAAAGCTCAACATCAGCACCTGCTGCTGCCAGCTCAAGCAACAGAAGTGGCCCTCAGTAGATCTACCTTGGAAACAATCCCAGGCATTGTATGATCCATTGACAACCTCCAGACTCCATTCCTGTCCCCTTGACAATTCTCTTCTAAAGCCCACTGAATATACACTGGAGTCAGCAAAAGACATTTCAATAATCAGTATTATACTTTTCAAATGCAATAGATTCTAATAATTTTGAGATCTAAGGTGCATGAACATGACTTTAAAAACAGAGAAGTAGTACATGTACTTCCTCTTTAACATGTCTCCAAATTACCCACTTTGTTCCCTTTCTCCCTCCCTCCCCAACATATTGAGGAACATTCCATAGAAGCAGTCTTCTTGCAGTCTTAAATGGTATCCCAAGGGGAATAACTGGAAAATAAATATCAACTGAAACTTCATTTATTTCTGCATAATAGATTGGTTCCCTGTCATTATAGATTAGTTGTGACATTCAAGGAAATAAAAGTAAATTACATATGTATACATACGTGTTCTTAAGTAAATTTCTATAAACTAATATTTTGTTTTTCAGCTTGTGAAAAATTAACTCACATTTTGTTAACGTTCCTTCAATTAAAAGGTCACAAGTTAATAATTCTACTGTATGTTTGTTGCCACAATAAAAAGTATATTAAAAGGCAATTATAGTACAAAGAATAAATAAGATATGGTCCACTTTAATGATTAATAATTTTAAAAGAAGATATTGATAATTTGGCCTGTTTTTTAAACTGGCAGGTATACATTGTATATAAATATGAATATATATTCCTTTCTGTGTAATAAAATGTGTATATAGAGAACTGTATCATACAGATAGAGAAAAAATTCTACCAAAAATAGAAAAAAATAATTGATCTTGATATCTACATAATAACTTGGTAAAACAATGTTATAAGATTCATTAGTCAAATGTTATAAAAAGAAATAATATTATTTAAAGAAAAGTTAAACATCAACAGCCATGTCCCTAGATTGACATTGCAGCAGTATGGCAAGGTATTCAGTCTTGACTAAATGGTGTTCCAAAACACCACAGTAGCAGGGGTCTACATCTGGCAATTTCTTAGGTACCATCATTCCTATATTTCATTCTGAAAAGGGGAGTCAGACACATTGTGATGTCCTGAATTGGATCCCAGAACAATATAAGAATATTTGTAAAATAAATGTGGTGATATCTGAAACAATTGTGCAGTTTGATCAACAAGGATGTTTCAAGGTTTATTTCTGATCTTTGACTGGTGAAGCTTGGAATATAAAAAGTTAACATTAAAGAAATTTGAGCAAAGGTCACATGTGAAAATTTTTACAGTATTTTTGCGGCTTTTCTGTAAATATAAAATTATTTAAATATTAAAAGCTTATTTAAAATGTAAGAGAGACCTAAGAGACTTTTGTGCTTGTGCACAAAAAAAAACAATCAAACAAACAAATAACTCACAAACCTGAGCAGCAGTGATGTTTTGATAACAAGAGTGGGGAACATACATGGATCATTTCAAAAGCCTTCCATGAAAGAAGAGGATGCAGTGACTGGGAAGGTGCATGCAGGGTCTTCTGTGCTGGTCACATTCTAATTCTTGACCTGGACTGGCGCACAGCTACACATGTGCCTTATTTTGATACTAACTCAATGAAATACACTTTTTGTTACATTTCCCTTCAATAAAAGAGAAGTTTTAAAGACATGTTCATAGTACTGGTAAATAGATCTCTACTACAAGTAAAGAATTAAGGGAGAATACAGAAATAAATTCAGTGTACAAATGTTGGGGAGATCTTGTGTTTATATCCAAGTTATTAAACCATAAGCATAAAATTTTCAGAGCTGAAAGAACATTGGAAAAGGTCACAATCAGCCCTGCAATTCTTCATGGAGTCACCTCTGCAGGTGCTCCTGTAGTGGGAAGGGCAGGACCTGACATTTGTGTCTTAGCAAAGCTCTCAGGAGATTCTGATGCAGCCAGATTATATACCACTGAGACATGCAAGGTGGTAAAGTGAATGTTCAGAGGCAGAATGTTTCAAAAATGGCACAAGAGCCTCATCCCCAGACCCTGGCCCTCAATTTCACCTGCAGCCCAAGGGTTCCAGTTAAGATCCCTAAACCTTTACAATTCCACTTTAGAATATCTGTAAATATCATCACCCTCAGTTACCTTATCCAAGACGTGATTTTTTATCATCATGGATTTTTTTTTACTCCAGAAGAAGCACTGATTTTCCAGAATAATTCAAGTTTCATACTCCTAATTCAATATTTACACATTTTATTCATTTAATGGCAGATTATATTTAATGGTAGATTCATAGACTATTAAAACTGGAGGTCTACTAACATGC